GAATGTGTGTGTGTGTGTGTGTGTGTGTGTGTGTGTGATGAAGCCAGAAGTCTGAGTCTCCATTTAAGCTCCACTCTCAGCAAGAGAAGCAGTATAAATCGGGAGGTATTGAGACCTGAGTAAGATCATCCATCCCATTTCAGTGACACTAGCGGCGTATTGACCCAAGCTTGGGGAGGGAGTAGTGGGGAATTATTTACTACACCCACACAGGCTTCCTCTCCATTGGTTTAAAGCAAACAAACCAGGTATTAGGTTCCAGCATAGAAGTCTACTGGGTCTCTAGTCTGTTCTCACATAAATATGAAACCCAAATGCATGAGGTAGATTTGTTTAAAAATTTTAGTATTTAAAAATATCTGTCAACTTAAATTCAGTGTGGTATAACCAACATGCAGGAAGTAATTTAGTTTTCATAGGACAACAAAATCATAAAACATGAAATTATATCACAGAATGGGGCCCTATACCCCAATATTGAAGATCAGTTGTGAAAACCCTAATATATATATATATATATATATGTATATATGTATATGTGTGTGTGTGTGTGTGTGTGTATTTTTAATTTCTGTTTCTCCCTCAGGTATCCAACTGGTTCGGCAACAAGAGGATCCGCTACAAAAAAAACATTGGCAAGTTCCAAGAGGAGGCCAACCTGTATGCCGCTAAGACAGCCGTGACTGCCGCGCACGCAGTAGCTGCCGCCGTCCAGAATAGTCAGACCAACTCACCCACCACACCCAACTCCGGTAAGCTTGCACTGATCCCGGACGAGCCCCTAAAAACCAACCAGCCATCCCCTATCCCAGCTTGGTCCCTTCTGAACCTCTGCTCCCTCTGGCATGCCGGTTGGCTGCTGTGACAGTGAGAGGTTCCAGACTAGGGGATGATCCTCACTCTCCTGCCTCTGAGACTATACATGCTGAACGAGACAAACAAAGTCAAGCAGAAACTGTGTGAGCGGGTTGCACATACTGAACATGTTTGTAGATTTGAGGGGTGGGAGGGTGTTGGTGGTGGTAGGGGTAAAAGAGATAATCCTCACCCACTGTCCTGCCTTTCTATCCATAAATATGTGACAGTGTTAACCCGCTGTGAATTAATGGAAATCTCTTGCTCGGAGCATGTTACACTCTTGAAGAAATGTGTAGTATGAAATAATAATGAATATTTGATTAGTAGAATGATACAGTGTCTACCTTAAATTGATGCTCTTCAGACATAATAAGCAGAAGATTTGACTGTGATAAAGACATGGCTTAGACCCTGAGGAGTTGTGGGTAAGCAATTTTTAAGGGGTCCCCTTTTTCTTGCACCCAGGATTCCAGATGAAAGATGAAGAATTTCAGCTGGACTCTGCAGAGAACAAAAACACTCTATTAACCAACATGTTCACTGGTACTGGCCTTTTCCATAAGCTTCTTATTGTCCTTGTCATTAGCATATAATTCCCTTTATGAACTAGTCCACTAGAGTAGGAATAGGTGTGAACCCCTGTGGAAAACTTAGACTTCCAACTCCATACACCATCTTTGTCCTTTTTTGTGATTCCCCCCCTTTGTTTTGGAATTTTTGGTGACCCCCACGTGCCCTTCTGGAGATGTAATGCAACCAAGCCATCATCCCCATTCCTATCCTTTCATTTCTTCCTTCTTTTTCTTCTTTTGCTCTCCTTTTTGTTGCTTGCTTTCCGAGCATCACTTCCTAGTGTGGTGTGTGGTGCGCGTACAGTGGGTACGGAAAGTATTCAGACCCCCTTAAATGTTTCACTCTTTGTTATATTGCAGCCATTTGCTAAAATCATTTAAGTTAATTTTTTTTCCTCATTAATGTACACACAGCGTGCAGGTCAAATGGAGTAAACCCCAGAATACTTATTATAATTATATAGTATTCAAACATTTATGATATTTGTTTTAAAAAAAATACGTTTTACTTTAAACCTAATCAAATAATGTTCATGAACACTTATGATGGTTATACCCCTTACATTCATTGTTGCATTCGATACTTTTTGTACACATTTTTTTTTAAGATTTCCTATTTTCATCATCTTTATCTTTCATCCTTATTTGTCATTGACTCGTACAGCTATAGAACAATCATTTAAATTAGTTATATGTTGTAAACATGTTTTTGTTTTGTTAAAATATGAAACATTAGGGTTAAAAACAGCTAAGTTTAAGGTATTTAATCTATAGAGGGAGGTTAGCTTAGAGACTCTGTGTGCCTCTTTTCCATGGCCTTAAACTGCTTCATAAGCAGGTTAAGTAAAAAGGATGACGGCTAGTGCTTTCATTGCTTCCAATTAAACCTTGCTTGTTAGTTTAACCTCTAGGTAAACCCATCAAACAATTGATGTTAAGGCAAAAGACTGCCAACGGTGGTGGCTTCAGCCGAATGGTCATTAATTTTAATTGCCTAGATATTAAAGATTTAGAAGCGCAGAGGCATGGTGGGGGTAGAAATGATCTGATGTCATGTAAATTCAGCCGCTGTAGCGTAGTGTGGCTCAGGCTGCTGGAGATATTAAAATGGAAGCAGAGAGGTGGAAATTAAATAAAGCATCATTAAGGGGCTGAGGCTCTCTGGTCCTCCAGTCCAGCTAGAGCATGGCTGTATTAGATCAAATGGGTGCTTCTACTAAATACTGAGCATTTTTCAGTTTTTCTTTTTTAATAAATCTGCAAAGATGTCAACAATTCTGTGTTTTTCTGTCAATATGGGGTGCTGTGTGTACATTAATGAGGAAAAAAAATTAACTTAAATGATTTTAGCAAATGGCTGCAATATAACAAAGAGTGAAAAATTTAAGGGGGTCTGAATACTTTCCGTACCCACTGTATGTCCTCGCACACATTGCGTGTATGTGTGAGTCTGTGATAGCCTCTCTTTCTCATCCTCTCGTTATTCAGCTCCTTACATCTTTCCTTTCTAGGTTCGTCAGGTTCTTTTAACCTCCTAAACTCGGGGGACATGTTCATGAGCATGCAGAATCTGAATGGGGATTCTTACCAAGGGGCACAAGTCGGAGCCAATGTGCAGTCACAGGTAGGCGCTACGCACAGGAACTGGGGCTGTGAACCAGAGCAGACCTGTCAGCTAGCCTACCATCCACATTAAAAACTCAACTTCCTCCCCCTCAACATATAGACAGTGATACAGATTTGATCACCCCCTCAACAATTAGTTTCATTATAGTCATGAAAGATTAATGATGACTATAGTCTGGACATGGATGGATCCTTCACATTTGCAGTCTGGACCCCCAACTAAATTACCATATCACAGCCCATAAGAGGCCCGTCTGACTAGAGACTAATTGTTTACAGCATTATGCTAGTATATTGATCCTGGAGCAGACCCCATTTTGTAGTTGATGTTGTGAATGCATTTGGCTCTGACTTGAGCTCTTGGGTTGGTATTGGTTGTATGGTACTGTTCTTTCCTCCAAACCTCTATATCCTTTTCTGTCCCCTTTTCATCATGATTATCCCAATTTTCCATGTCCACATAAGCTAATTTCATCCTCATGTTAAAAGACACCATTTGAAGGAGAGAGACAAAGAGTTAATGTGTACTGAACATTTCTCAGATTCTCAATATCTGCTCATGGTCTGATAATGTGTTCTTACATATCGTATTCTCCTCCAACTGTTGTCATGTGTGAATATTATTGTGTTTTGTAGTAAATTCCGAATGAAAACTATTCCATTCCTTCTTTCTATGTTTTTGTGTTTAGAGCCTGGAAATAGAGTTACCATTGCCAGAGAGCAATAGAGAGGGGAAACGCATATGTTGTCCTAAATGTTGCATTAAACCACATATGTATCCCTAACTTCATTCAGCTGCATATTCCATTTTAGTATGATTCATTTAGTAAACCGCAAAGCCATACATTTTTTGTATAAAAACCATTGCCTTTGTCTGTTGTGACCATACATCACTGTGCTGATGTTTGCATGTGTTTCTGTAATGCAGAATGTTGACAAGCTTGACTTCCTGTTGTGTCCTCTGTAGGTGGATACCCTGCGCCATGTTATCAGTCAGACGGCAGGATACAATGATGCCCTGGGAGGGAATCCCATGTATAGTCCACATGGCTTGAATGTAAGTACAGTCTCAGTCAGCCATGACTGAATTCCCACTGAATTAAGCAATAATAAATATGCTACACTCATCCTAACATTATAGAGATAATATATAACTCAAGCCTTTTTGAATGAAAATTGTTATATACTACCATTCAAAAGTTTGAGGTCTGTAAATTTTTTTTTTAATGTTTTGAAAGAAACTCTCTTATGCTCACCAAGGATACATTTATTTGATCAAAGTATAGTAATACTGTGAAATATTATTATAACTAAACTAATTACTAATTAAATATATTTCAAATGTAATCAATTCCTGTAGTAGCAAAGCTGAATTTTCAACAGCTATTACTCCAGTATTCAGTGTCACATGACCTTTCAGAAATCATTCTAATGTGCTGAATTAATGCTCAAGAACCCATTCTTATTTTATCAATGTTGATTAATAACTTTGTGGAAACCATGACACTTTTTTTATTACTCTTTGATGAATATAAAGTTCAAAAGAACAACATTCTTAGACATTCTTACACTTTTAATCAATTTAATGCATTCTTGTTGAATAAATTTATTATTTTTTGTTAAGAATATTTGTTTTATTTAACAAAATGGTGTGCCATTGGCACATAAACACCAACATTTTAGGTTGGCATTTACTAAGAAATGATGTTGTGAAAATCATTCATCAGTTGAAAAACATAAATCAGAAAGACCTGAGTCAGACAGCAAGAAACCACCATAAATCCAAACTCCACGACAAACAGAGTGATGATTCAGAAGATGACAGGAGTATCTATCCCATAATATGCATAAAGCGGAAAATATGACATTTTTTAAAAGCGGGAATAAATGCTTTGCTCAGTAAAAGCTCAAGCGGCTCAAGTATTTGGGAGTGGTGTGAGAAAAATGAGATTCAGAAATATATTAAGTCAGTTTGTTGCCTGTGTAAACAGTTCCTATTACAGTAACCTATAACGTGGTAAGATGAAAAGGCTTTTACTAGCACATCTTGCCTCTGTTTGCCTGTTTTGCAATGCTTCAAATAATTTGCAATATCCTTATCAACATGATGAAATATGAAAGTATGATTGCCTGCAGCCATCTGCAGGCATGAATTTTATCTTCCTTGATGAGGTTTGATATGATTTTTTTTTTCCAGCCATACACTGCGTAATCTGAAACCATCAGAGTAAAGACTCATTTATTTGATGAGAGAGAGAGAGAGAGAGGGGGGGTGAGAGAAATACAGACATATATCTTCCTTGAGCTAAACACAGGTTTAGATGTTATAACTGTTACCTTGTTTATCGGGGAATTGTTTATAAAAACATAAACTTAGATGTAATAACCTTAAACATTAATCTTAAAAAAAAAAAATGCTGAATGACAGGACTCTGGCTGATGAGCTGATAAAATTGAAACATATACATTTATAGTTTATGAACGACAATTGAGCATTTTCTGGATTTGGAATATTATCAAATGAGCCAGTAAAATGTGTTTTAAAGATTATTACATATTCCTGATACAAAACAGCTTATTTATCGGTCCAAATGGTCCTTGTACATTATCAAAAAAGACAAATGAGCTTTCCAAAAGCAAAACAAATCACTTTCTATTGAGAAACAGATGCAATCAGATGGAGGAATAATTTGCAGTGAGGTAATTAATAGAGCAGAGCTGTCATATGTGTACTTTCTGATGACTGTTAGAGCTCCATTTGCATGAATTAACTCTAGCAAAGCACACAACGATAAATGTCATAAGTCAAAACGTATGCCCGATTTTTCACAGCAGTGGGGCCCAAACGTGTGGCTAATGCTGAGACGGCTGTGTGTCAGTGTGTTTGTTTGTGTGTGTGTCTGTGTTTGGAGGCCTCTGTGGCCTGTAGCTGTGCAGATGAAGTGTCAGCCTCTCGCAGGCTCAAACGCCACACTTTCACACTCTCTCACTCTGGTCCACTGCTCAAGTCAGAACTCCCTCTATCATTACAACAAGTGTGTGTGTGTGTACCTACTTATCATAACGCCTATGGAATGTCCCCATTTACATAGAGCTAAGTAAACGTGTGTGTGTGTGTGTGTGTGTGTGTATGTGTGTGTGTGTATGTCAGGCTGAATACGAGTGATCCATGTCATCAGGGTACAGAAGACTTCCTCATAACGCTCGCGTTTCAGCATCAGTCCAGACATTGTGGCTGGAGGAGACTAGCACAATCTATTTATTGACCTGTTCCAGGAACTCTAAATCAGCAAAATGCTAATTCCACCACTGAACAGTCCCCGTTCACACACACACACATGCACAGGCACAAACATCTCCCCATGATTTTTATATAGAAACAAAGACAGATTGTTTTGATAACCAAACACCTCATTAGCAAATCAGCATACGGCAGTAATTCTCAACTAGTTTTGCTTCAAGATCCAGATTTTACATGAAGTGACAATTCCATCAAACATTCATTGTACAAAAAAAGTTAACAAAAATGTCATTAAATTAAACATAGTTATTTTATTATTATTATTATTATTATTATTATTATTATTATTATTATTTAAGCCAATGATTCCATATTCATTATTATTAGTAGTATTATTATATTAATTTATTATATAAAGTTTGTTTGTTTGTTTGTTTATGAAGCCAGTGATTCACTATGTTCATTATTTATTGAAATCTGATTAATTATTTATTTATTTATGCCAATTATTGGCTGTTTATTATTATTATTAGAATTGTATTTTGTTAAGTAATGATTCACCATATTTACTTTTTTTATAATGTATTATAATTTACTTATTATTAAGCCAGTGATTCACCATATTTAACCTCATTGCAAGTTTAGCTGTTAATGTAGGTTTAAAAAAATAATAATAATTTACCTTGCATAGTTCCTCTTCAGGAACTCGAGCTGCGTCGGAAACGCTAGGGGAACGCCTTCTGTGACCACGCTCTGAATTTAGACTCGAGTCCTCTGATCTCCCCTATCCTTTGGGGGTCAAGAGTCACTCCTCCAGAAGTTGGCCTTTGGGATGGCGGGCCCCGCCTACTAGGGTTACATACGTAACCTGAGACGTTTTGTTTGTGGTTTTTGAGAATGAGGGCACTTCCTCAGGCTGGCATATTTCTAATTTGACAAACTTTTCAAATGAATTGCAAATTAAATACTGCAGTGTTTGATTGCATGCAATTATTTTGATACCAAATATTTTTTAAATAGTCACCAAAAAATATGTTTGTTTGTTTGTTTTTCTGCGGTCGATGACCCTTATCCATTTGTTGTGGTGATATGGAGAGTGAGGGATAGACTTACTGTAGGTGGGGGATTGAACTGAGGAAAGATATCCAGCTAAAGCTATTCTCCAATGAGAGCCGGGAGATTGAGTCGGGAGCGCTCAGGCGAGCAGGGTGGAGGAAAGGCCTGCACCGTCACTTCCACTCAGCATCCTTCCAGCATCCCCCTCCCCGCCCCGGCCTCCCTCCCCTTGACTGACATCAAAATATGGAGTGACCACCGCTGAAATCTGATTAGACATTGATTTCAGCAATCGTTCCCATTGGCCACAACGTTTATGCGAATTTGTTTTCTGAGAGCGAGGGAAGCAGGGACCGAGAGAGTGAGGTTTAGCGTGGCAAGCCGATGTGGGTTTAGCATGGCAAGATGGCCGCCGGCATGTCAGACAGTAGATCAGAGGAGACACTCTCTCTTATTAATTTCTTAATGCATTAGTATGCATATGTATGCATGCTTCACTCACATGTACATACCAGGATTTGGACAGAGACTACTAGGAAAGATTATCTGTATTATTTTACATAACAAAATTCTTTAAAATTCTATATTAAATATGAATATATAAATATTAATCTGATAAATATAATACATTATTATTATTATTATTATTATGCAGCATTTATTTGAAATAAATATTTCTTTATTTTAAATTTTTTAATACTTCTTTGTAACATTATAAATGTCTTTACTCTCACTTTTGATTAATTTAATGCGTCCTTGATGAATAAAAGTATTAAAAATCACCACCACCACCGTCTTTGTCTTTTACTTTCTGTCATTCTTTTTTAGTCTTTTTAAAATAAATTTTTTTACTTTTGTTAGATTCTGTTTCATCTTGTAAGAAATTTGCTCTCTCTGTCTCTCTCTCACTCTTTATGTAATCTAATGTATATTTTAACCTTCTAAGAAAACTAAGCTGCTTTGTTGCAACTTTTAAAAAGAAAAAAAAGAAAAAAGTAACCATGATATTAATAATATGAATAACACGGAGAGTATGGAGAGTGCAGTGGCTGGTGGAGGGGAATTTTGTGCTGGAACAGGGAGGGGGAAATACGATCATAAAATTAACACCAAACAGTAAAACTGTTGTAAATACTGAAGAACATTTTGAATGTTGCTCATCTTGTTACTAATTCATGCAAAAAAAAAAAAGAAATAAAAAATTAATAAACAAAAACCATGATTAAAAAAAAAAATATGAAAACCTGTAATGTATAGAGGTTTCAGTATTCAGAATTGTACATTTCAAAACCCTGTGTGACAGGGTTCCAACTTTCTTTCTCTTTTTTTTTGTATCGTATGTGATTCTGAAACTGATAAAAAAAAAAGTCATACAAAATTTATTTGTGGCAGTGGTTCTAATGTATTAAAGATGTTTCGTGTTTCTTTCTAACCAGACTACACCCTGGACTGAAAAGTCTTCCTTGTGGTAGTTATGTGTAATTTCAAACATGAATAAACAGTTTTCCTTTCATGACAGACTGTTTTGATATTGCCTTCTTTGTTTTAGGTGCACTTGAGGTGATTATAATAAGAATAAAAATAATAATATACTGATTTAAATAAATGTAAATTGATTAAACATTACATTTAATTACTTTAGTTTAAGCACAAGCATATTGATGACGTTGTATTATTATGAGAACAACTGTACTTCTGTTATATGCATATACATGTGTCCATGCACATATCGAAACCAGAGTCTTGTTCATTTGCATGAAAACCTCTTCATGCCAATTTCAACAAAGTGA